ATGTAAATAATAAATAAATCTTTAAAAAAGAAGTTGCCAATTCTAAACTTTTAAAAAGCTATCTCCATGAGGATTAAATAAAGTATACTTTATACAGTGTAAATTTAAAGATTTTGGAGGGTTTTTTTTTTCATTTATTAATGGAGGTGAAGGCAGAGATTAATGGCAGGCCTCAAATTCACAGACTCTGCCTGCCTCTGTCTTCCTGAGTGCTGGGATTAAATTGTGTGCCACCAACCTGGCTATCTTCACCTTATTTTTTGAGTTAGAGTTTCTCACTGAACCTGAAGCTAATTGATTTGACTAGGTTGTCTAGCCAATGAGCAAACTCCAGAGATTGATCCTCCAAGTTCTGGATTAGAGACCTACTCCTGTACTTGGTTTATATGTGGGTGCTGGGGATCTGAACTCAGGTCCTTATACTTGTGTGCCAAGCACTTAACTGGCTGAGGCAGCTCCCCAGATCATCAGATATTTTAGTTGTAATTGTAGATACTGAGAGGCAAAATTACTAAAATGTACACAATTCTTTTTTTATTAAATTTTTATTTTTTTATATTAGTTACAGTTTATTTACTTTGTATCCCAGCTGTAGCCCCCTTCCTCATCCCCTCCTAATCCCACTATACCTCCCTCATCTCCTCCCTGCCCCTCTCTGAATCCACTGATAGGGGAGGTCCTGCTCCCCTTCCATCTAACCCTAGCTTATTAGGTCTCTTCAGGATTGGCTGCAAGGGCCTAGCAAGGCTGCTCCTCCCCCCTGGGGGGGGGGTAGGTCAAAGAGCCAGCCATTGAATTCATGTCAGAAACAGTCCCCATTTGGACACTGAGCTGCCATGGGCTACATCTGAGCAGGGGTTCTAGGTTATATCCATGCATGGTCCTTGGTTGGAGAAACAGTCTCAGAAAAGACCCCTGTGCCCAGATATATTTGGTCGTTGTGGAGTTCCTGTCCTCTCCAGGTCATACTAGCTCCCCCTTCTTTCATATGATTCCCTGCAGTCTGCCCAAGATTTGGTTATGTGTCTCAAGCATCTGCTTTGATACACTGCTAGGTAGTCTTTCAGAGGACCTCTGTCCCGTTACTTGTTTTCTCCTACTTCCAATGTCCATCCCATTTGTCTTTCTAAGTGAGGATTGATCATTTTACCCTGGGTTTTCTTTCTTGTTTATCTTCTTTAGGTGTACAGATTTTAGTATGTTTATCCTCTTATAGGTCTAGTGTCCACTTATAAGTGAGTATATACCGTGTGTGTCTTTTTGCTTCTGGGATACCTCACTGAGGTTGATCTTTTCTAGATCTCACCATTTGCCTGAAAATTTATTGATTTTCTTGTTTTTAATTGCTAAGTAGTATTCCATTGTGTAAATGTACGACAATTTCTGTTACCATTCCTCAACTGAGGGGCATCTGGGTTGTTTTCAGTTTCTGGCTATTATGAATAGAGCTGCCACAAACATGGTTGAGCAAATGTCCTTGAGCATTTTTGGATATATGCCTAGGAGTGGTATAGCTGGATCTGGAGGAAGCCTTATTCCTAATTGTCTGAGAATGTGCCAGATTTATTTCCAAAGTGGTTGTACAAGTTCACATTCCCACCAGCAATGGAGGAGAGTTCCCCTTTCTCCACATCCTCTCCAGCATGTGTTGTCACTTGAGTTTTTGATCTTAGACATTCTGATGGATGTAAGGTGAAATCTCAGGGTCGTTTTGATTTGCATCTCCCTGATGGCTAAGGATGTTGAGCATTTCTTTACGTGTTTCTCTGTCATTCTATATTCCTCTACAGAGAATTCTGTTTAGCTCCATACACCATTTTTTAATTGGATTGCTTTTGTTGCCTTTTAACTTCTTTAGTTCTTTATATATTCTGGATATCAGCCCTCTGTCATTATTAGGGTTGGTGAAGATCCTTTCCCAGTCTGTAGGATGTCATTTTGTTTTGATGCCGGTGTCTTTTGCTTTACAGAAGCTTTTCAGTTTCATGAGGTCCCATTTATTGATTGTTGCTCTTAGAGCCTATGCTGTTGATATTCTGTTCAGGAAGTTGTCTCCTGTGCCAATGAGTTCTAGACTCCACTTTTTCTTCTAACAAGTTTAGTATGTCTGGTTTTATGTTGAGGTCTTTGATCCACTTGGACTTTAGTTTTGTACAGGGTGATAAATATGGATCTATTTGCATTTTTCTGCATGTAGATTTTCAGTTAGACCAGCACCATTTGTTGAAGATGCTGTCTTTTTTCCATTGAATGATTTTGGCTTCTTTGTCAAAAAATCAAGTATTCATAGGTGTGTGGGTTTATTTCTGGGTCTTCTATTCAATTCCATTGATCCACCATTCTGTTTCAATGCCATACCATGCAGTTTTTATTACTCTTGCTCTGTAATACAGCTTTAGATCAGGGATAGAGATACCTCCAAACAATCTGTTGTTGTACAGGATCGTTTTGGAAATTCTGAGTTTTTTGTTTCTCCATATGAAGTTGAGAATTTTTCTTTCAAGGTCTGTAAAGAATTGTATTGGTGAGGCCTTCAAAAGGCTCTATACTGTAGGGTAGATACTATCAAAGCAGATACTGATACTTATGGCCAACCTTTGGACAGAGTGCAGGGAACTTTATGAAAGAAGTGGGAAATAGACCTAGAGAGGACAGGAGCTCCACAAGGAGAGCAAAAGAACCAAAAAATCTGGGCACAGGGGTCTTTTCTGAGACTGATACTCTAACCAAGGTCCATGCATGGAGATAACCTAGAACCCCTGCACAGATGTAGCCCATGGCAGTTCAGTGTCCAAGTGGGTTCCATAGTAATGGGAACAGGGACTGTCTCTGTCATGAACTGATTGGCCTGCTCTTCAATCATCTCCCCCAGGGGGGAGTAGCCTTACCAGGACACAGAGGAAGACAATGCAGCCACTCCTGATGAGACCTGATAGACTGGAGCAGAAGGAAGTGGAGGAAGACCTCTCCTATCAATGGACTGGGGGAGGGGCATGGGTGGAGAAGAGGGAGGAAGGGTAGGATTGGGAGAAGAGAAGGGAGGAAGCTAAAGGGAGATACAAAGTGAATAAATTGTAATTAATAAAAATTAAAATTAAAAAAAATAAGTGGAAAAATTGTGTTGGTATTTTGAAGGGAATTGCATTGAATCTGTAGATTGCTTTTGGCAGAATAGCCATTTTCACTATGTTAATCCTACTGATCCATGAGCATGGGAGATCTTTCCATCTTCTGATATCTTCTTCAATTTCTTTCTTCAGAGACTTGCAGTTTTTTTCAAACAGGTCTTTCACTTGCTTAGTTAGAGTCACACCAAGATACTTAATGTTATTAGTGGCTGTTGTGAAGGGTGTTGTTTCCCTAATTTCTTTCTCAGCCCTTTTGTCTTCGGTATACAGGAGGGCTAGTGACTTTTTTGAGTTAATTTTGTAACCGACACTTTGCTGAAGCTCTTTAGAAGTTGCGGGAGTTCTCTGGTTGAATTTTAGGGGCCTCTCATGTATACTATCATATCATCTGTGAATAGTGAAACTTTGACCTCTTCCTTTCCAATTTGTATCCGCTTGATCTCCTTTAGTTGTCTTATTGCTCTAGCTAGGACTTCAAGTACTATGTTGAAGAGATATGGAGAGAGTGGGCAGCCTTGCCTTGTTCCTGATTTCAGTGGGATTGATTTAAGTTTCTCTCCATTGAGTTTGATGTTGGCTATAGGCTTGCTGTATAATACCTTTACTATGTTTAGGCATGTGCCCTGTATCCCTGATCTCTTCAAGACTTTAAACATGAATGGGTATTGGATTTTGTCAAATGCTTTTTTGGCATCTAAGGAGATGATAATGTGCTTTTTCTCCTTCAATTTGTTTGTATGGTGGGTTACATTGATGGATTTCTGTATGTTGAACAAACCCCTGCATGCCTGAGGTGAAGCCTACTTGGTCACGGGGGATGATATCTTTTATGTGTTCCTGGATTTGGTTTGCAAGTATTTTATTGAGTATTTTTGCATCAATGTTCATAAGAGAGATAGGTCTGAAGTTCTCTCTCTCTCTCTCTCTTTTTTTTTTTTTTTTGTTGGGTCTTTGGTTTAGGTATCAAGATGACTGTGGCTTCATAGAATGAGTTTGGTAATGTTCCTTCTGTTTCTATTTGTGGAATAGTTTGAAGAGAATTTGAGCTAGCACTTCTTTGAAGGTATGGTAGAATTCCGTGCTGAAACCATCTGGCCCAGGGCTTTTTTTTTGGAAAGGAGACTGTTAATGACTGCTTCAATTTCCTTGGGGGATATAGGACTATTTAGTCTTTCTACCTGATCTTGACTTAATTTTGGTAGATGGAATCTATCAAGAAAATTGTCCATTTCCTTTAGATTTTCAAATTTTGTGGCATATATGCTTTTGTAGTATGACCTAATGATTGTTTGGATTTGCTCAGTATCTGTAGTTATGTCCCCCTTTTTAGTTCTGATTTTGTTAATTTGGGTAGTTTTTCTCTGCCTTTTAGTTAGTTTGGCTAAGGATTTGTCTATCTTGTTGATTTTCTCAAAGAAAACAATTATTTTAAACAGGGTCTCTATTGAACTGTGGCTTATATTGATCTGCCTCAACCTTCTGAGTACCAGAGCTACAGGTATGCCTACTAAGTAAAGTGTTTCCTAACAGAGCATTTTACCGACTACAACAAGAAGAGATACTTTAAGTCAAAAGTTTTCTTGGTGGTCCCTAACTTCTGTGATATTTGAAGTTTTAGATTTACTGACTTGAAGACTTGACCTGCTACTTAGATTTTTCAGGCATTCCCTTTTGTGGTGATGGTGGGTGGGTCGAAGCAGCAAATGGCTAAGCATCATTTCTTTCCTGATTAGGCAGAGAACAGGTTCTTTGTACAGACAGAAGATTAGAGAGTCACCTGGAGAGGAGTAGATATGAAGAGAGGGTAAAATAATTTCCCCATGTTTCAATCCTCAGGAGGGGATCAGTATGGTAGGAAAGTGACAGGGAACAATGGAGACATCAGTGCTGAGCCCCACATCCTGGGAGAAACGAAGAACCTGGCTACGACAGAGTCATAACTGGCAAACCCAGGTCTTAGAAGAGGCAGCTGTAGCTGCCCTGCAGGATGCATTGGATCCGGAGCCTTCCAGCCTGGATAATGTTTTCCCAGAAGGTAAGAAGTTGCTGAACATCACACAGATGACCACTGTGTCTTGCATAGATCTGCACAGGATGCAGAGTGGCTTCTGTTTAGAGTAGGACCTCACTAAGGCTCAATGAGTGTAAGGGAGAGGTATAGTGTAATATGATACATGAATTATGTGAAGAGGGGACAGGCATATGATTAGGAAACAGAAAGGGATACCTTTGCAACATCCTAGAAACTTCTGTAAAAGTCAAATGAACAGGGTTTATCTGTAAATTAAGTTTGTGCAACAGAACTACATCTAGTCTATGCCCAGATCCATGCTGCAACTCTGACACAAGTGACCTTTGAGAAGTCTCTCTGAAGATTTCCTTGCTCAATGAAGCACTTGTTTCCAAAAAACCCACATTATTTGATGTTGAAAGAGAAACACCGGAGATGTAGTCTGAAACAAAAGCTTTTGGAACAATAAAACCACTTTTACTTGTTTGTTAGGAGATAAAAGCACAAGGCCATTACTTTTCTAATTTGTTTCTTTCTCACTTTCTTTTTCATTTTTTATTTTTGGAAAAAGAACCATCCCTATTCCCAAACTTTAGAAAAAGAAAGCAGAAAGCATAGTAGCCTGGACACTGGGAACTGCCTAAGGTAAACAGAAGAGAGGCAGAGAGGGGAGACATGTTCATCATCTTTATATATAAGTACATTCCTTTCATATCTCTCCCCACACACCATGAATAAAAAGAGTCATGCTGTGGCTTTTTTAAGGACAACTTTCAGGTTGTCTGAGTTATATAGGAAAGTGTGGTTTTCTTCAGTGCCTACAATCACCTAGTGTCTGCTTTTTCTAGGGAATCCAATCAGTAAGATTGAGAACTGGCTGCATGGCTGTGGGTAAGTGCTCAAAAGCAAAGATGTGCCTGGCAGATGGCTGTGATGATGGACATGGTTCCTGTGAATTCAGAGACAAGGAAAAGAATGAGCATTGGTTTGGTGTGCAGGCATGACGAAAAGACTTGGAACTTGGGTCAGCTGGTGCTCCAGGCTGTGGTTCAAATGCAACTTGGGGCTGAGATGAAGTTCAGTAGGAAGGTTGAGAATCTAGGAGAGATCTGGACTAGAGCTAAGAGTACATGGAACTCTGCATCTAATCAGGATCAAAGGGATGAGTGGCAGCCCCTTCCCATTGCCTTTCCGAATTCTGACTGCAGTTTTACATGGTGTGACAAAAAAGGGAGAGATGGAGGTGGATCATTACTCCTCATGAGCAGAACACAGGAGGGCTCAGGGGCTTCAAAACCATGAAGAGTTCAGAGACTTTAAAGTATAATACAGCTTTTCTTGAAAATATTTTTAAAATAAGGCTCCCCTGAAAGGCAGTGCTAAGAAGTAATTATTTTGTGTTTTTTTTCCATTTATTTACAAAGAGTACTGTATTTCTTACCCTAATCTTAGTCAAAACTCATTGACTTTAATGTCCTTGTTTTTAATAGCTGAGTAATATTCGATTGTGTAAATGTGCCACATTAGCCTTTATATAAGTGAATTAAAGCAGAAGATTACAAAAAGTATTGTGTTCCTCTAATTCTGACATGTGAAACTGGATGTTGCCAGATTTAAAAAAAAAGGGGGGGGGAGGAGAAGAAAAACAAAAGAAAGAAGAACTAAACACACATAGAAGGAAGGATTGGCTGAGTTAATAGCCTTATGTTCTTGTCTAATCTCTTCAATCCCTGTTGAATAATGATTTAATTATGCATTTTTAGATATCTGTTTAGGGTTACAATTTCTGTGATGAAATACCATTACTAAAGCAATTTGGGGAGGAAAAGGTTTTGTTTTTTGTTTTTGTTTTTGTTTTTGTTTTTTAGCTAATACTGTTACATCATGGTTCACCATCAAAATAATCAAGACAGGAACTCAAACAGGGCAGGAACCTGGAGGCAGAAGCTGATATAGAGGCCATGAAGAAATTTAACTTACTGACTTGCTCCTCATGTCTTGCTCAGCCTGCTTTCTTATAACACCCAGAATAAGAGGTAGCACCACCCATAGTGGGCTGGGACTTCCCCGATCAATCACTAATTAAGAAAATGCTCTACAGGTTTGCCTCCAGCCTGATCTTATGAAGGCAATTTTTTTAATTGAAGCTTCCTCCTCTCTGATGACTCTAGCTTATGTCAAGTTGACATAAAACTAGTGAGTAAAATATCTAATTTTCTGAATGGCCTAAATTGATGACAAGTAATATTTAATGTATGGTGTTTTGTTTTGTTTTGTTTTGTTTTGTTTTGTTTTGTTTTTACTTCAAATGCACTGGAACATAGCTGAAATGAGTGAACTTCCAGAAACAAAGATTGTAAGCTCTACAAGTTACTCAAGTTCTAAAAATATAATAAACAAACCCTAAACTAAAGCTTAGGATGAAAATGTGACATGGCAAGTGAAAGCCTCCAAGATTTGAACATTTTTATCATGTTACCACTTAAGCAACTGTAAGGAAATAAGCAAGTAAGCAAATAACTGAAAGTCTTTATGTCTTAAACTCCATAGTTGAAAGTAGCAGGCCAACAAACTCGTCCAAAGTTCAGTGATGTGACACATGTGTAAATACTGTGGCCTTGTGATCATGTGTAAGTGGTGCTGAGGTGATGTGAACATGCTCTCAACTGCTTTGGAGTCTGGGGAAGAAGGATCATTGGAGTCTAAGACTCCAAGGCCAGCCTTGGATATATTGTAGAACTCTATTGAAAAATATAAAATAAGAGAAGAAGCTTAATAATTTTTAGGAACTTAACAAGAAAGTCTCCCTATCTATTGGTCTATTTTTTACATATGTTTATTGACCAGAAAAAGCATGCTCATCCATTTATGGATAGTGGAAACTACTAGGGAGAAATAAAGTTGAAAGAATGGAAGCTAAATAATACATCAATTATATTTTTAATAATTTGATTGTTGCATATTATTTATTTCTTCTTTAATAAATGTCAAAATGTTTGCACACATAAAAATCGGCTAGCAGATACCAGTTTATCTGTCATAATTTTTTTCTGTGTTTTAAAATATTTTCAGTATTTAACATTTTTAATATACCACAAAGAAGCCAGTAAATATGCTTACTTTTGTTCTTGAAGGACAACTGCTAATACATTGAAAATATTTTCAAATTTGTCTATTTTTTTTATTCTCCTTTATATCTCTGCACTACAGTCATTCACTGTTTGTGGATGTTTTAGTTAACAACAAGCTGTGTCTGGTCCCCTAAAGCTAATCATCAGATAACATGTACATAGAGCCCACATACTCACTGTAAAGTCTTCTGTTCCAAGGCTCAGTGCAGGGTGATTCTCAAAAACAGACAGTAAAATGCCTTCTAAGGTACAACCTGAGAACTATAGGATAAGTGTATTATATCTAAGTACTAGTAATAAAGTTTCTTTTGCAGAAATTAATAGTTTAAACAGTGTCACTTTAATATAAATTTTATTGAAATGTAGCACACATATTAGTAGCATTTTTATTTTTACCTTAAAGTGTATTAAAGTTGCAAATCAAAACAACCCTTAGATTTCACCTTAGACCCATCAGAATGACTAAGATCAAAAACTTAAGTGACAACACATGCTGGAGATTGCCAGTTTTAAGTTCATTTCCATAGTTAAATATCTAAGATACTTCCAGAGTCCTCAGGTTAAGTACATTGCTGGACACAAACAAAGGGTTGACTTAATACTATCCCCATCAGATGCTCTTCAGCCTTTTTCTTTGCTAACTTTACTTTACCAATACTTCTTCACTCTGTCTGAGACTACATTCAAAGCATCAGTCATTGCTTCCATTCTAAAAATGTAGGGAAAGCAAATACTGCAAAACTCAAAACATATCAGTGCTTCAAATAGGCTTAGATGATAATAAAAATCAAGGCATCAAAATTCTCTTTTGGGGTTCTTATTTTTATTCAAAAAGGAATTTAAAAATAGACTCAGAAGGAAGCTTAAATCCCATTTTATTAGAGTTTGAGGTAAAATGGCAAGCAAGCTATAAATCATGGCAGCTGCTGGGTAGATGAAGTTAGAAAAGAAAAATTAATGCCTTTTAAGAGTTATTTCTTTTATTTTTGAGATTATAAGATATTTACATCATTTCTCCTTCCCTCTTTTCTCCAAACCATCACATATAACCCTCCTTCCTCTCACTCAAATTCACAGCCTATTTTTACATTAATTGTTGTTACATGCATATATTTAATATAAATGTAAGAATATATATATTTTAAATATAATCACATCAGTCTGTAATGTTACTTGGATGCATGTTTTCAGAGCTGATCTTTGATATTGGATGACCATTTGGTATGTTCTTCCCTCGAATAAACTATTTTTCCTACTCTCAGCATTCCTTAGTTGTTGTAGTTCTTTGCACAGGGTTAAGTCTCATGGGCTTTCCTCCATCCACTTTGGTATATTGGAGCTGTCCTTGTTCAGCTCGTGTTTAGACAGTCATATTGGTGAGACTTTATGTGTGTAGCTTCTGACATTCCTAGGAGACACAGTCTCCCAGAAAACTCCTTGTTCCTCTAGCTCTTACAATCTTTGTGCCCCATCCCTGAGCCTTAGTTGTGTTGCAGATATATCATTTGGGACTGTGCTCCAACATTCTGCATTTTTATTAGTTGCAGTTTTCTGCAAAAGTCTTCATCTTTTGCAAAAAGAAGTTTCCTTGACAATTACACTATTCTGTGAATATAAAGGCAAATACTTAAGGTGTAATTAGGGATTATGTTGGTTATAGGTTCTCTTCCACAGTCTATGACTTCACTAACCCTGGGTAGTTTTAGATTTTACTAGCCTTGGATAGGTTTCTAGTATCAAACATGATTTCCCTCTTGTTAAAGAGATCTCAAATTTGATCTATTGGATACTGCTGAGATATGTGTGTCACTATTGCACCTTTAGGGTTATCCTGCAGTTGAATGTTGGTTACTATGCATTCTTTAGAAACTTGCTTGGCACCTTACTGTACCATGAAAGCTAGTCCTCAGGGAGAAGGCTTTCATGTCAGTTCCAGCTCAAGGGCCTCTGGGCTCTCTATCTGAAGTAGCCGGTATCTCCAGCAGTTAGGATTTACCTTATATCTCTGAGCAGGAGGAAACCAAGGTCAATAGCAATAGTTTGTAATATTTTGGGAGTCTCATGGACAGCTTTGTCCAAAAACTCAAAAGAGGGCTTCTCATGCCTGGTGTTGGAGTCTTTGTTAGATGGTCTTTTGCTCATGAAGGGAGCATTTTATACATAGACCTATATGTATTATCACTTTTAAGATGTTTTAAGACCATCTGTTGTTGATTATTAATTTTTAATATTGATTTATCTTTCAGTTAAGCAGTGGTTATTCCTAAATCAGCTATATATCCAAATCACCACACAGAGACTAGGATTTACTTAATTAACCTAGAACACAATGCTGGGCAATGATTGCTCCATCCTAAACCTCCAAGCCTGCATAGCTTCCTCCCATTCAAATTTTCCAACATTATACTTGCTTTTAGTCATAGCTGAGGTCTGATGCATCTCTCCTCATGGTTCCAAGTCCTGTCCTGCTGATCTCTGCTCTCCCATTCCTCCTGCTTGCTTTCTTCTTCTCCCTCCAGACCAGGATGTCCCACTCTATTCTCTCCATTGCACAGCATTGGCTGGTTGTTTTATTGAAAATACAGATAACAAATGGTGGCATGTTTACACAAACTTGAGACAGGTGATGCTTAGAATAAGTATCACAATGAAATGTCCAGATTGAAACCAGATAGTGGGGTAGAGAAATCAGCATTTGAATGAAAAGGGTAAATTGTATACATTCCACAAGAACATTGTATACATTCCACAACAACCATCCATTAGCATGTCCTCAGGTGAATCAGGAAGAATTAACTTTCCATTAATAAGCCCCAAAGAAGCCTTGATACCTCTGTCTTTTGATATAGCAATTTAGATCCTAAGAAAAAGCAGTTATGGCATTTCCCTTTCTAGGGTTACTGGGGAAAAAAGTGGAGGTCTAAACCTAATTATGAGGAAAGGGCTATCTTCTATGGCCTCCAAAAGTAGTAATGCCTGAAGTAGTACTTAAAAATAAAATGATAAGATAAGACATAGTTTAGGCAGAAGAACTCAAGAGTCATGAAAAGGAGAATAATGCTGTTCTTTTTTTTCTTTTTCTTTTTCTTTTCTAGTTTCAACTCTGTCCTAGTATTTCTGATTTTCATATACATTCAGCTTTCTGTGTAGCAAGAACCAATTTTGTATTCTGAAAGACTCCAACCTGTGTTATTCCTTCCAGGAAGTGACTGTAAAAATTAGGCATTTTCCCCATTTACTAGTGTTGGGGACAAATTAAATAATGACCATCAGGTGCACAACAGATTTTATATGAAAGAGGTTTATTAGATGGAGATGAAGAGAGAGAGAGAGAAGGGAGAGCAGGACATAATGGGGGGAAAGAGAGAGGGGTGCCTGACAGAGGAAGGGGAGAGGGCAGGGAGCCAAGAGAGGCCAAGAGGGAGCAAGAGGCAAGAGAGAAACCACATGTTGGGTTGCTCCCTTTAAGGGGCAAGGTAACCATGCCTTCCAGGTGTGGACACCTGGCTGACAACATCATAGGTTGCTAGGCAACCCAGAAGGAGGTACCTAAGTACTAGTACTTAGATGTTAGGTGCCTAACAACTAGTACTTAATTGGAATTAGACTTGACAAGTCACTGAATACATATGTTGCATTGTTGATTACAGAAGTTGCACTGCTACTTAGAAAAAGTGATTTTTTTTTAAAGAAAGAATGTTTTGGAATGAAGGTTTTTGTAACCTAAAATTTTTCACATTTTTCTTCTGTTAATAATTATATTATCACCCAAAGAAGCTAAGCAAGAAGGAGGACCCTGGGTAAAATGAGCAGTCCTCACTCAAAAAGGCAAATGGGATGGACATTGAAGAGGGAGGAAACAGGAAACAGGACAGGAGGCTGCCACAGAGGGCCTCTGAAAGACTCAAAGCAGATGCTGAGACTCATAACCAAACTTTGGGCAGAGTGCAGGGAATCTTATGAAGGAAGGGAGAGATAGAAAGATCTGGAAGAGATAGTAGCTCCACAAGGAGAGCAACAGAACCAAAAAATCTGGGCACAGGGGTGTTTTCTGAGACTGATACTCCAACCAAGGACCATTCATTGACATAACCTAGAACCCCTGCTCAGATGTAGCCCATGGCAGCTCAGTGTCCAAGTGGGTTCCTAAGTAATGGGAACAGGGACTGTCTCTGACATGAACTCAGTGACTGGCTCTTTGATCACCTCCTCCTGATGGGGGAGCAGCCTTACCAGGCCACAGAGGAAGACAATGCAGCCAGTCCTGATAAGACTTGATAGGCTAGGGTCAGATGGAAGGGAGGAGGACCTCCCCTATCAGTGGACTTGGAGAGGGGCATGGCAGGAGATGAGGGAGGGAGGCTGGATTGGGAGGGAATGAAGGAGGGGGCTACAACTGGGATACAAAGTGAATAAACTGTAATTAATATAAAAATTAAAAAATAATTGTATTATTGTGTAATTTAATATGTAAATTATGAGAAGCCAAGACTGAATCCCAAGTGCTCTGATCCCAGCTCAAGGTCTTTTATTGGTTAATTTGCTCATCTCGTTCTGCCCAGTTCATGAACCCCAAAAGACCAAGAATAAACAGACTCCGCTGTAAATACATGAGGTTCTTTTTATTGTAAATTACAAGCTGCAGCTTGGGCCCACACCCCCCACTGCCGAAGTGGTGGGAGCCGAGTGCCCTGCACCCAGGTTAGTTGGGTGATTTAAAGATTCTGGTCCATCCCAGCATGCCCAAGGCAGGGGCGATTCCTGCCTGGCAAGCATCTATTGGTCAAAATGCTACATTTTGAATCAATTGGCTATAGGAAGGTTCCCAGACCATAATGACCTGGTGTCTTTCCCTAGGGGGATGGTCCAGTTTCCTAGCAACTGTATCTCTAGTGGGTGGGGAAAGAATGCAGTAAGGCGGTCCTTCCCCTCAGGGCATTACTAGACTTCTTTATGTACCTACTTCAGGTCTTAATAATAGCTGCTAATTTATCTTTTGGTATCTCATTCTATTTCAAACAAAAAAATTATTTTGTTTGTAAAACTGCTGCTGCTTCCTACTATCTATTATACTGATTTCCTTTTGTTTTTCTTGTCAAGATGGTGAATGGGTGATAAACTACCATTACAAAATCTCAAAATATCTAGCCAGGATGCAGTTTCTTCTGTTTTCTGAAAGATGTGGTATTCTAGCAAGAACATGAATTATAGAAAAGTGAAGGGATATGGGTAGATACAGTGAATTGACGAAAGCCCGAGACATTGACATTTGTTTATGTTATATGGAAATTATGATATCAGAAATTGTCAAAGTCTAACTATTAAATCACTAGAAAGTGATGGAAAGAATGGTATCAAAAAACTCTGTCTTAAGGAAATCATGAAATTTGCAGGTAAATGGTGGGACCTGGAAAGGATCATCCTGAGTGAGGTGTCCCAGAAGCAAAAGACACACACGGTATATACTCACTCATATAGACATACAATGTAGGACAAACCCACTAAAATCTATGCATCTAAAGAAACCAAGCAAGAGAGAGGACCCTAACTAAAATGTTCAATCCCCACCTGAAAGGCAAAGAGGATGGACATCAGAAGAAGAAGAAAACAGGAAACAACCTAGAAACCTGCTACAGAGGGCCTCTGAAAGCCAGAAGAAGAAAACAGGAAACAAACTAGGAACCTACCACAGAGGGCCTCTGAAAGCCTCTTCCCTGCAGACTATCAAAGCAGATGCTGAGCCTGATGGCCAACTGTCGGGCAGAGTGAATGGAATTTTATGTAAGAAGTGGGAAATAGTAAGAGCTGGAGAGGACAGGAACTCCACAAGAAGAGCAACAGAACATGAAAATTTGAACACAGGGAACTTCCCAGAGACTCATACTCCAACCAAGGACTATTCATGGAGATAACCTAGAACCCCTTCACAGATGTAGCCCATGGCAGGTCAGTGTCCATGTGGGTTACCTAGTAATGGGAAGAGGGACTGCCTCTGAAATAGTCTGATTGGCCTGCTCTTTGATCACCTCCCCCTGAGGGGGGAGCAGCCCTACCAGGTCATAGAAGAGGACAATGCAGCCACTTTTGATGAGAACTGATAGACTAAGATCAGAAAGGAGAGGAGAACCTCCCCTATCAGTGGACTTGGGGAGGGGCATGCATGCAGAAATGGGAGGGAGGGTGGGATTGGGAGGGGAAGAGGGAGGGTCTTATGGGGGGATACAAAATGAATAAAGTGTAATTAATAAAAAATTTAAAAAAAGAAAAAAAAACTGTCTTACACATGGTATGTACTCACAAGTGGATTTTAGCTATATAGTACAAGATAAACATACTTCAAGGCACAGACCCAAAGAGGATACAAGGAAGGATGCAAAAATCTTACGCAGAAGGGAAAATATAATAGACAGAGGTAATGGTTGAAGAGAGGAAACAAGGTAGGAGAGGAAACACAGAGAGGTATGAGGGTGGAGATCAGACCTGGTGAGAGAATCTGTGGGTGAGGGCATCTCTCTGACAAACTTGAGACCTAAATCAGGGTAGGCTCCTGAAGGATATGAGAGGGGTTCTAGCAGAGACTCCTAGTAGCAGGGACCATAGAGATGGAAGAGGACACCCTCTAACTAGACAAGTAGAGGGAGGGGAACACCAACCCACCTACAAAAACTGCAACTCAAAATTCACCCTGCCTACAAGATGTGCAGGGATAAAGAGAGAGCAGATATAGCAGAAACTGAGGGAAGGTCTAACCGATGCCTGACCCAACCCACGACCTGCCCCACAGGAGAGAACCAACTCCTGACACTATTAACGATACTCTACTATGCTTGCAGACAGGAGTCAAGCATAGTTGTTCTCTGAGAGGCTCCACCCAGCAGCACCTCAAAACAGATGCTGAGACTCACAACCAAACATTGGGAGAGGCATGGAGCCCTGTGGAAAAGGGGGGAGGGGCAGAGGAAGAAAAGAACCTGGAGGAGGTGATAAGAGCTTCATAAGAAGACCAACAGAGAAGACTAACCAAGGCCAAGAAGGGCCTACCAAGGCTGAAGTACCAACCAAGGACCTTGCATGAACTGGACCTAGGCCCCCTATGAAGATGGCAGCTCAGGCCTCATGTGTGCTCCCTAGTAAGAGGAGCCAAGGCTCTCTCTGACATGGACTCTCTTGCCAGCTTCTCAATTACTTTTCCCTGGAGAGACTGCCTTGTCAGGCCACAGGGGAAGAGGACACACTCAACCCTTATATGACTGGGATGTGTGAGAAGGAGTGCTCCAATTTTCTGAGAAATAGAGAAGAGGGATGCGGAAGAGGGAGAGAGGATAGGACTGGGAGGTGAGGAGGGTTGGGCTATGACCAGGATGTAAAGTGAATTATTAATTATTTTTTAAAGCTGTCTTATTAACATATTCCTCAGTTTTGCTTCTGTTTTGTTTTGTTTGTTTGTTTGTTTTTTCCTATTTTGATAAAAGCTGATGAACCATTGCAAAACCACCTTCAGGCAATGCTGCCATAACAACAGTAGCACATTTAGAAATACAACACATTCCAATCTCAGATCCTCATGACTACGTCTATGAACCTGTCAATAAATTAACCACAGTCTAATTGTCTGCAATACAAAAGCAAATTCAGTAGTGCTGGTTTTCACTGGAAAAATTATGTCACCATGTGGGAGTTATTTGAAGAAAAGCAGTTGGAAAACCTAATTATATTTTTCGTTTTAGACACACTGAAGGGGGACTTCCTGAAGAAGCAGGACAATCCAACTATAATGGTGAGCTGTTCTATTTTCTTTTCTACTTGGATGCTGTACCTCTCTCTCTCTCAGTGTGTGTGTGTGTGTGTGTGTGTGTGTGTGTGTGTGTGTGTGTGTGCTTCCGTGTGTGTTTATATATCCACATTTATGTATCTTTTGGGAATATGAGTGTCTTTAGTTTCTGAAAACTTCCATTTATTTGTTATAGAGCAGTCTAGAAAGTACAAAAAGAAGTTCTACCTAATAGCACATGTTCCCTAATACTTAGAGATTACCTGTTGGTGGTTGCTTTGCTAATAGCTATTATTAGAGAATAACCTTGTAAACTATATGCATTTGCTTGTCCCCGAGTGTGGTATGTACCTTCATGTGTTAACTACTTGGCAAAGGATTATGTACATGATTTTGTGCAACAAAGTACACAGATAACTTATAAATGGATGTATATAATGTTGAATCAAAACATGACTTTGATTGCTGATGTAAAGCTGGGGGAAGGTTTGTGAACATGTAGATATCTAGCATGTTTGTATAGTTACGTGAGTGCAAGACCATGATTAGATATTCAAGTGTGCAGTTTGTATTCTCTCTCTCTCTCTCTGTGTGTGTGTGTGTGTGTGTGTGTGTGTGTGTGTGTTGTGTTCTGGCTTTATTTTCTGCAACTTTTGTGTGATTTTTTCGGTAGGGTACTCTAATCATGGGACAAGCTTTGAAGATGACTTGAGTCTTGGAGCAGATGGTGAGTGGCACAGCTGAATGATGTTAGGATTAGTAAAGAAGGATAGCATGGTATGATTTAAGGCTACAATAGAAAAAAAAAACTTAAATAATCAGCGTCTTTCTGGGATCCTATTTAGATGGAAAGAATAGTTTGGTTTTCTTGTTTGTTTTGATATAAGATAAACACAGAAAGTACCCCTGTACTTTCTGTTAATATTTAGAAATATTTCTTTATCTACTAATTATGATTCCTGGCAGTCTTTTCATGGTACTTGGAGACAATATCAGAGTACCTTAATATTTATTTCTATGACTCTTTTCTCTATTAAGAGCCCAAAGAACCAAAGAAGTTTGAGAGCTTCTTCCTCCTCTTTCTCCTACTTCATCTTTATGTTGGGTATCAGACCAGGTGGTCTATCCTGCTAGGCAAACGCTCTATCACTGAGCTACATCCTCACCCCTGAGAAGTGGTTTTAAGTGGCATATTTTGCTGCAGAAGGATATGAGATTAAATAAAAAATAGAAGCACTGTCTCTTCCCAGTGTCTCCAGATACTTGTAAGATGGGCAGCTATGTAATGGGTAAACCATGTGACAGGCAGGAAAGAGATGCTAAAGACTGGAGTGATCCTGACCCCAGGTCAGAGGCTCTTAACTAGACCTCAGTTATGGATCAGAAGTTCAGACTGCAGGCCAGGTGTCCTCTAACATGTCTGCTGCACTTTTTAGGTTGTTCAGTGATATTTATCTGTACCACTGAGGGAAACAGTGAAGCAACTTTATGGATAGAGAAACAGCATGGGTGCTATCTATTTTCCTTTCTAATTTGTTTTTGGCTTTTTTTATTTCTATCCAGCCACACTACTGTCCATCAATGGAAACTTCTTCTCTAGGTAAGTATAAAGTGTAGAAAATTTGAATGATGTCACCCAAGGATACAATGGACTGGTGGAGGTTACATAGTCAGAAACTTTAAGCAAAGAGCTAAAAATAAACAGTAAAGAGGAAGGCTTTCTAACCAGCAAAGGAAGACATAGTCTAGGTTTCCTCAGCACAGGAAAAATATGCCCAGTAGGGGAAGCTTGAGGCCAGAGACTGGAGTTGAATGACATCAAGTTTCATCTCTTTAGGAATTCCCTCCAGATACCCAGGCCTTGCCAGTTACTTGATCTTGGCTGCAGTTTGGCTTCCAGCAACATGACTGGTGGAACCAACAAAACCACTTCAAGGTAAGTAGTAAGTTTTGGAAGGTTAGGTTCATTGAGGGATAAGAGACTGTGGCTCTGCATACTGGAGCTTATATGCATTTTCTATTTACAAGCAATAAATGTGATGATGTTTATTCCAAGATGAGGAATGGATGAAGAGGAACCTTTTCAGAAATGGATGCTATGTATGAAACAAAGGAACCTTCTTCCACTGAGATATAGTAATATCATGGTACCTAGGCCTATAATAGGTGTTCAATAAACAGTGTGTTTTTTTTTTTTTAAGCAATACAAAGTTTCATTCAGTCCAAGCATTAATTGTTTGGAACTTGCAAAGCTGAAGCAGAGTTTGTCTTGAGGGTCTTGACTATTCCACGTAATGGACAATATTCACATGCAAATAAATATAAAGCAAGATAGAAAGTGATAGTATTAGTGGGCTATAATGAGAATGTCAGAAGTTTGAGGACAAAATTTTAATTTGAGACATGGTACTGAGATTTAACATGTTTTTTTTTTTCCCATGTAACTAACCCTGCCTACATGGAATTCAATTAAATGGGAATGTATGAAAGTACTATTCAGGTGTTGTATTAGTCAGAGCTCTCTAGAGTAATTGAACTTATAGAATGAATCTATCCCTATATATAGAAAGGGTATTTATTAGAATCACAGACTGTGGTTCAACTAATCCAACAATGGCTGTCTGTGATTTAAAAGTCCAATAATCAAGTAGTTGCTCAGTCAGGAGGCTGGATGTCTCAGCTGGTCTCTAGTATATTCTGGAATACTAAAGAAGTCAGCTCTAATGCCATTGAAGGAATAGACTTGCTAAGGAGGCAAGAGCAAGCAGACAAAGACCTAAAGCTTCCTTCTTCCATGTCCTTATATAGGTTTCCAGTAGAAGGTAGGGCCCAGATTAGAGGCGGGTTTTCCCAACTCAAAAAGTCTGGATTAAAGGTGTGTCTTCATACCTCAAAGAACTGGATTAGAAGCAGATCTTCCCACTACAAATTAAGCAAAAATTGCTTACTTGATGATGTAGCCCTTCATTTTTAAGCTTTAGTTAATTGCAGATGTAATCAAGTTGACAGCCAAGAATAGCTCTCACAGGTGCTTAGGTGTTTTAAATTATTTTATTTTTGAGATTGTAATATAACTACATCATTTCACCTTCTCTTTCCTCCCTATAAATCCTCCTAGATACCCTTCCTTGCTCTCTTTCAAATTCATGTTACCTTGTTTTAAATTAACTGTGTGTGTGTTCCTTAATGCAAATAAAACCTGCTCAGTCTGTATAATATTACTTCTTTGTATGTTTTCAGGGCTAACCATTTGATATTTGTTAACCAATTAGTATGTGCATCCCTGTAGAAGATTATTTCTCCTACTCTCAGAATTCATTAGTTGCCTGTGGTTCTTTGAGTAGGATTGAGGTCTCATGGATTTTTCTTTATCCACTTACAATTTTTCTTCTCCACCTCAAGCCTTAGGTGTAGATATTGTATTGTAGACATAACAGATATATATGAGCTCCAAAACTTTGCATTTTGATTGGTTGTAGTTTTCTGTAAATAATCTCCATTTGTTGCAAAGAGAAATTCCGTGATGAGACACAAAGACTGCACTTATTTGTGCGTATAAAGATAAATATTTATAATTCAGTTAGGAATTGTGCTAGTTTAGCAAGATAATTTTAACACTGCGTCATGGTTGTGATCAAGAAAATCATACATTGCAACTCACAGATAAGAAAATTTACAATGATGGAGATAAAAGGAGCATGGACATGGCAATACAAGGATAGGTTCAGGCACTTCACTGTCCAGCAGGTAATTAATATAATGGCCCCAATTTTGACTATAACATCCTAGCATCTTTTTTAGAAAAGAATGTTAATGACAGCCCAAGCCTTAAATAATCCAGACACCCTGCTACCATTGTTCAAACACAGTTATTAAACACAGGTGTCAAGTAGATTCAGTATGGTGCCAGAATAAGAGTATGCATGATGGGGTGGGAAGGGGTAGTATTTTGGTCCTTTGTGAAACATCAACATCATTTATCCAGATGAACAAAGTGCTAGAAAGAGGGATACCTTTCTAAATCAGGTGTTAAATGTACCTAATTTCAGAGTGAGAATACAATAAGATCTGCTGTCTTTACACACTAATTTTTAGCTGTCTCACACATTTTCTAAGGTAAGTAAAGTGACAGATACACTTCAAAGCACCTGAAAGAGCCAGATCTATCACAGTATGCAGTTGGGAACTTACAAGTTAGCAATGCAGGCTTATTTCTTTGACTCTGTATTGCTCTTCATTATCAAAGTATTTCCATATTTATTTAAATTTGTTTTCAGTTGTAGAAGCAGTTCAAAGCACTATGCTAATATTTGTTTTATAAACAGATCTTGAATCTGTATCTGCCTCAGATACAGAAATTAGGTTCAAATAGTGAAAGCTCTTTTCAAAGTCACAATAAATTGTAAAGAAATGCTTAGGAAAAAATGTTAATATTGATACTATTATTAAATATTGTCCTAGTCACTGTTCTATTATTGTGAAGAGATACCATGACCAAAGCAATTCTTATAAAGGAAACCATTTAAATGAGAGCTTGCTTATAGTTTCAAAGATGCATTCTATTATATTCATGTTGGAGAGCCTTGCAGCATGCATGGTGCTGGAGCAGTAGCCTAGAGTTACATCCTTATCCACAGGCTGAGAGAGAGAGAGAGCCTAGGCTTGGCATGGGTTTTGAAAACTCAAAGCCCACCTCCAGTGACATACTTCCTCTAACAAGGCCACACCTCCTAATTCTTCTAATCTTTTCAAATAGTAATACTCCCTGGTGTCTACATGTATATGAGACAATGGGGGCCATCCTTATTCAAAAGACCACAGATATTATGAATTCACATATGTCTCCAAGTTGGCCTTTGTACCAAAATTTCTTCTTTTCAGCATCTCAGAGATTTTGGACCAGGTACAAGAAGATGCAGAAGATGTTCTCTTCAGCCTGGGCTTTGGTCATGAGGACCACAAAGACACATCTCGTATCCCTGCAAGATTTTTTACCAACCCTTCTCAGGCCAAAGGCATTGACTTTCAGCTCTTCCTGAAGTCTCAGGTGCAAAGGATTGAGATGGAGGATCCCTGCCTGATGCTAGCCAGTGAGTGTTACTTCAGATCCATCCATATTCTTCCTTTCATCTGCAACAGTTCCATACTCTATTTTTTGTTAACTTTGTCCTTTGTTTGTTCCATTTTCATTTATATTTTTCTAAAATGAAGCACTTGATGTCTGCTTTTTTTTTTTTTTCTCTTGAAAAAACAATCTTTAAGAAACTGGTGCCATTACTATTTTGCTTAGGTATAATCGTACTTCTGGCTAATTTATTGGGTTCTTTTTCCTACCATCCTTCTCCATCCTAATTCTTTCTAATGTCCCAATACTAGGTAAGAGAGAAAGAAGCTTAGAGGGGAAAAGAGTGTGTCAATATAATTAGACTACTTCCTGCTGATTAGGGGGGTCAAGGTCCTTGGAGCAAGTTTGATCTTCAGGATATAAAATTTCTTCTTCTCCTCATCTCTTTACTCATAACCACTTGACAAACGGCAACAATAGCAACCAACAGGAGCAGGGTGAACAGCAGCCTGGATCCTCAAGGGCTCTGGCATTTACATACTCTCTGAAGAGCTCCCAGATTCCAAACATGAACTCTCTTCAGCTGGTAGAATTACACCCCTGCCTGAGAATGAGACAAATTATAGTTAGCTGCTGTGGATTATCTGAAGCAGGCCCAAATCCCACATATGAGATTAAAACAAAGCCAATATATTTTTCATTTATTTATTATGTATACAATGCTTTGCCTGGATGTACACCTGCTCACCAGAAGAGGGCACCAGATTTCATTTTAGATGGTTGTGAGCCACCATGCGGTTGATGGGAATTGAATTTAAGACCTTTGGAAGAACAGATAGTATTCTTAACCTCTGAGCCATCTTCCAGCCCCCATAACTGAGTTTTTAATGGAACCAAAATTTTCACTGTACTTAGATCTTTTGCACAGCTGAACCAAATCAGCACAAAATTCTTTTATCCTATCCCATTTTAAAATCTCTTTTTTGGATTATTTACTGGTGATAGAAAGTCTGAAAGTCAAGAAAGAGATCTAAAAAGGAGGATCATCAGTGAACAACCTGGTATGTCTCTCTGAAATTAGAGCTTTGAGAAAGCTTTTGAGTGGACATGTTAAACATGTAATTTGCCAATGAGCTCCTAGAGTCATCATCCTTATTTCTTATATTTAGGCCGGTTTAAGCAGGTGCAAACCCTGGCTGTTGCTGCTGATGCTTTCTTCTGTCTGTACTCCTATGTGTCTAAGACACCTATCCAAAAGTTTACACCATCTAACATGTTCTGGAATTGTGACTCAATTGATGTGCCATCCGTCAGGATTCTGGCTCCAGAGCCTGATTCCTATTCACCCAGAGAACGTCTCCGGAAAGCAATCTCTAAAATGTGCCTGTATACAGGTTCTCAAGATTGGCTGTCATCATCTCACAACCCCAAAATGAGCAGTTTGAACAAAGTTGTGTGGGAAGTGATGGACAGAGTGAAAGGAGAGAAGCTAGGTCTCCAGCAAGGCCTTGGGCATGGGCAAGCCCCTCAGGAAGAGTCTGTCCCCCGAGCACAAAATACAAAACTGTCCACTTCTTCATTTCCATGCATTTTCTGCCCTAAAGAAGAAACATGGGAAGACTTCTGCCATGCTCATATACTAGCCAGAGCAGGTCCACAGTACAACACAGACTCTACACAGATAAGGAGAGAGCTGTGGGGTCTACAGGCCATTAATAAGAAGCCCCATTCAGCTGAGAATGAGAGTCCATGGGAAAGAAAAAGCAAAGCAAGAAAGAAATTATTTCAAAGGACTCCCTTGGAAAAGAAGATTAAGTCACTAAACCTGTCTATCATCCAGCAGAAATGAAAACAGAGCCAAGCCAGACATGAGCTGCACCAATCTTTAACTCAGCACTTTCAGGGTGATTCTGAATTGGAACAGGTGAGTGTTACAGAAGTGAGGGAGAGGCTGGATACGAATAGCTCTGAATTCTTTCCCAGAAGATAAAAGAACAATGATCTTAAGCAAAGCAAATCTATTGTCTTATTTTCATTGGACAAAAACCCCACAACTTGAGAACATTTAGAAATTTTTGTTAAGTATGGTAATACAAATGTAGAAAGAGAAAGAGCCATAGGTTCTTAAAAGATTTTAGTTTCTTATGTAACATACCCACACTGACTTTTTAATGTTTTTCATGTAAGTGAAATTGAAAAAGCTACTCATTATTTAATAAAATGTATCTTTTATACACATAGGTAACCATTAAGATCCAGAAGTCCTGGTTCCAAACCTAAGAGTCTTATCCATTTAGCTCTGGATGAAGCTTTTTCCAAATCCACACTTTCTTCCCTTTTCTTTCTATAGCTAGATAGATTTGGAACCATAAAGGATTTTGCACACATTTGTGTGAATACTGAAAGCTGCATAGCTAAGTACCATAGCCACTTCCTACTGACATGGAGAGGACAGTCCTTGCAAGAACAGACACCAATGCAGGTCTCTACAAACAACTTAGGGTCATTTGACAAGCAGATTTTGTGATCCTTGGTAACCAGTTTCTGAGAATGGATAGTTCAGGCTTCAGACACTGCCCCATCTACAGATGCCTGTCCCCTCCCCCCCACCGTGGTCTGTCTAAAACTTAGAATTCCTTTACCTTGAAATAGCATACCTCTCCCCTGAAGATGCTACTTCCATCAAATGTCAGAATCATTTGGAAAAGCTCTCAAATCCTTGCCACACAGAAAAGCTGTGATCATTTACAATAAAAGTCACATGCATGTTACCACTCATTGACTGATGATACAAGTCATACTTGACTATCAGGTGTCTGTCAGAGGAGACAAAGGCATTCCTTTGGAATGCATTCAGCCCCCATCCTCCTTTGCAACTCCTGTCTACCCTGTGCCTTTCCTTGCTCTTATCTCCAATTGATTCTGTCTGAATTCTGGTGGGATCCTGTACACAAGTACAGAACAGCAAAGAAGAGAAGGGCATCCACTGGCCCAGCAGAGCCAGGCATCCTCACTTCTACTTCCCTTGTAGAAGACTCAAGAAGTAAGTGGGCCTGTGTGCCAGGTAGTGTTTCAATATGTCTATGCATTTATCCTCTCCCAATGAGAATTTACGAATATCCACTGTGGAGATCCCCACATAGTACACTTGTTTTAGTATAGCACAGAACAAATAGCTGATTATTTTTTAAAATTCCACAGATGGAGCTAGAGTGGTGCTCAAACTTAAGCATATATCAAAATAGCCAGAAAGACTTGTTAAAATGCAAATGGCTGGGCCTCAGTCCAAGGTTTCTAGTTCAGTAAGCTGAACAGAAATCACCATTCAAATGCTGTTGTCCTAGGGGACATTCTGCAGAACCTTAGCATTCAGAATGCGTCCCACTACCAGAAGTTTGTGCTAAAAATAGAGAATCCAAGGGTCCCATCAGACATAATTAATTACAATTTGGTCACTTCTCTACTAGGATAACAAAGAAATATCATTAGGGGTACACATTTTGTTTGCAAATCTGTCTCAAAAGAGAGAAGGAGAAATGAATTTATGAGGTATCTGATGCCTTCATCTTGAATGTTTGATGGATGAACCTACTGTGGGTTGTTTCATCTTCCAATATCCAGCCTGAATTTCTTACATGGAAATGTAATGAAAGCCAAAGCTGCAATAACTCCAGTAAATTGCACAAGATCCCCTTCACAGTCGTTATATGTAACAATCCATCCTGTATTCAAAAGTATGGAAAGCAGACTATTTAATGAAGTGGCAAAACCATGCAGTACAAACACATGTGGGATTGGAAGGTTTCAAGCAGCTTTTTTAAACATTTATTTTATTATGTATACAGTATTCTGACTGCATGTATGCTTGTAGGCCAGAAGAGAGTACCAAATCTCATTATAGATGATTATGAGCCACCATGTGGTTGCTGGGAATTGAACCCAAGACCTTTAGAAGAAGAGCCAATGCTCTTAACTCTGAGCCATCTCTCAAGCCCCTTGAGCATATTTTTAAACAATCCATCACAAACAGAAGAAAAAAAAAACACTAGCATTATTGAAATCCTTTATTCTTCATATCGTAAAGATTCACCAGAAGTAAATTCTCATTCAAAAGGCTATTCAAACAGAATATCAAACAGGCATGTCATATAGAAATTTGAAAGGAAGTTAACCTCTAGACTCATTGAATTAAAATAGAAAACATAAAGTATATTCCAGATCCTGGCTGCCTTACCAAGGATCTGCTTCTTTGTTGTTTGTCAGCTAGATGTTAGCTTCATACAAGGAAACGTCAGATGTCCCACAAATACCAGTTCCCCTCAGAGAATCCAAAAGTATCAGAATTGTCTGGCAAAGATATGTATTTTAACTATATGAATAGATCTTATTTTCTGTCAACATAGCAGGAGAGATGATGGTTAGACATTCGATATTATATTCTGCATCCTACATGTGTACTTTTTAAACTCTAACATATCTACAATTAGGAGGGATCTTAATCTATCACTAGCCAAATTTTCCTACTAATTACTATGTGTTCACATGCAACATCAAACCATTACGAGTCTCATAAGAGATAACCAAATGCAGTGACATGCAGTAGCTTTAGAAAGATGCTCTTAGAATTTCAAGATGAAAACGAAAGATTTTAAATATGTCTCTCCTATGATTCAGTGGGAGAACAGAAATAAATACATAATGGAAATAAACACAGTCTTTGTTTCAGTTTTGGAATCTTGGTGCTTCCAAAGTCTCATGTCTTTTTACCTTTGCTTTTATCGAAAATATATTTTTTAAAATAAATCATATCCCAAATACGATTTCCCCTCCTTGTATTCCTCCTAGTTCTTCACCACCTCTCTTCCCATATGGATCCACATTCTTTCTGTTTCTCATTAAAAAAAAAAACAAACAAAACAAAAAAACCAAACAGGCAGACATTTAGTGAATAATATTAAAATATAATAAAATAAGATAAAATAAAAAACAAACACGCCAGAATAGGACAAAACAAACAAACAAAAAGAGCCCAAGAAAAGCCACAAAGAACAGATGTAGTTGCAGAGACCCATTTGTTCTCACAATCAGGAATCCCTTAAAAACACAAAACCAGGAGCCATAAGACATATACAAAGAAACTGAGAGAGAGAGAGAGAACTTTAAAAAAAAAAAAGATAAAATTGAAAAAAAAAAGAGGCCCAATATGAAATTATATGACAAGGAACCTCAAAAGATGCCACTGAGTTTTATTTTGTTTCATTTTGTTTTTCTGTTGTCCATCTATTGCTACCCTTAAGAGTAGTTTGTATTCTTATTGAGATGTTTTCAAAAGAAACATAAATTACCACTCTCAATCTGTGTCTATCATTAAGAAATCACAAATTGAGTCAAAAATTGCTCAGTGCTTCCAAGATTGACACCTATGTGCTAAGTGTAGACCGAGATATACTGAGTAAACCTCCCCCTATCTCTTTAAGGGCATAAGGATGGGTAAGATATGCTAGCAATATTCACTCTGTTCAGCTGAAGAATCTTCATTGTCTAGAGACACCCAGCCTCTTTAGGGTAACAGGGCTTAGAATCCACCCCTCCATGCCAACTTACCACAAAAACAAAACAAAACAAAACAAAACAAAAAGACCTCTTAAGGACTTTATCTTGCTGGAAAAAAAATTTAAATTTTTCTTTTCTCTTTCTCTTTCTCATTTCTTTTTACAAATAATTCACCTGTATAAGCAAATGCCATTTTGAAATTAGCATATGGGCCTCTTTTCTGCTAAAAGAGGACCCACTCTTTCCTTGCTATCACTGGCAGCAGTTTTCTTTTCTCTTGCTTTCCCTTTTAACATATGCCAAGGAACCGCATGGGCATGAATAGCTCCTGTCATTCTCCATAATTTATACTGTGATTAAAGATCTAAAATCCACCACCATTCCTATTCATGCCATTCTACTGAAATGGAAAGAACTCACATTAGTAAAATGTAAAGTTTCTCACATCAGTAAAAGGCAGAGCCAAGGAACAGAGTTAATGTTTGATGTGCTGATGTTCCCTCCTAGCAGGTCTCAGGTAGCACCCTGTGCCTTTGCTAGAGGGGGTAAGTGAAAGTAGAAGCATGATTGGCAAGGCTATCACAGTACACTATATCCCCAAATGATAGATACCTCAAAGTATGATTTTTTTGTGTGTGTTTGTTGGAACTTAAATGATCTGGAGAACTTATAGTATTTGTTTTCAATTTACCGTTTTGATGTATGATAATAAAACAATAATAAACACATACCATGATTATTCTGTCATATAGTATTCTTAGCTCTTAGATGTTTAAAATCATTCAATTCTTATGTTATGAATTTTATTTATTTTCTCTTAACTAGATAGATAATGAATCTGGATAGAAAACTCCCACATGCAAAGGGTCAGGGGAGGATTGAAAACAAATAGAGGCACGGTGAGAATGTGATTATTATTTTCCCATCTTGTTTACAATTCTTATCAATGATTTTGCTGTTGTTTTGTTTTCCCTCTCTGTTGGAACAATTATTTCAAAAATTGACTTTCTGTGCTCCATGAAAATCTTTCTACAAAGTTATATAAGAAGAAAGAGCTTATTTCCTTACTTGTATTAAGCATCAAATTAGAACATTATAAGCCTCACAACAACAAACCCTTCAAAGAAACTATAAGACAAAAAGCAATCTTCTTTTCCATAACCCTGGATTTACATCCAACCACAGCCACAGTGTCTAAGTAAACAATAAATGTTCCTCAGGTCAAGAGATCCCAGAGTCACTTAGAAATTGGAGTGATCATCTGTGTTTATTATTGGCTTATTCCAAGTGAACAATAAACCATTGTATTTTAAAGATAGAATGTGCTTTGCAAATAGGAAGAGAGTGCCTAAGTTAGATTCTCATGTCCTGTGCAGACTGAGGTCTTTATTATCAAGGATATGGGTCCTAAGGCATTTTCCATTTATTTTTTTCATCAAGTTATTTGTTTTGTTTTTCACTATTAGTTGAAGAACCTTATATAGTTTAAGATAGTCATTTTCTACACATGCCTGCTGTTACAAAAACTTATTTAATATTACTAATCTGCAGGGAAATGTAAACAGAAGTCACAATGAAATATCTTAACTTGCTATGTAATTATGTTTTGAAAATATGTGTTCAAAAATATGTGGTGTAATTAGAATACTTGTATGCTAGAGAGAATGCCATTTAGAGGGGATGGAAAATGATACATCTGACAAGGTATGCCTGGAGTTCGTCAACATTTTAAAACAAAACTAAGTAAAATCCAGTAAGTAAAATACTTCTAGATATTTATCCAAAAGAATTGAAATCAAGATCATGAAGAACTAGTCATACATCTATGTTCATTGCAATACAATTCAAAGGATCAAATGTAGAAACAACTTACAAGTGGATCAATGGATTAAAGAAAAAATAATTAAAGAAAAAATAAAAATTACACTTTTAGAAGGAAGAAAATTCTGCAATAGTGTACAATGACATGAATGA